TTGTATAATTATCTCCTTATTCCTCCCAGCAATCCTGCCACATGGATAATTGGGTCTGTGTTACAAATGAGAAAACTGAGGCCCAAAGAGGTTAAGTACCTTGTCTAAGGCCACAGAGTAGGAGTGAAGTAAGAATTAAACTCAAGTCTTTCTGACTCCAAAGCTCTTGCTCTTTCAACAAAGCATTGCTTCATGTAGTTTGGAGGTATGGAGGGACCTGCTGGTTGGCAGATGCATTGTGAGGCTTTGTAATATCCCCTGGCATATAACCTTCCAGGATTTTGTCTTTTTCCTTTCAACTTCCTAAACTTAAATTGATAAAAAGTTGTAGGACTATTAATAGTCAATATTTACTTGGTGCTAACTCTGTATAAGCATTATTCTAGATATATTAACAATCCTAGAGCATACTTATGAGGTGTTTCTATTATTGTCTCCATTTTACATAGGAGAAAACAGTCACTGAGAGTCTGAGTAACTTGCTCAAGGTCACACAGCATGTAAATAGCAAAGCCAGAACTTGAACCCAGAAAGTTTGGTTTCTGAGTCTGTGCTCTTAAACAACGGGTTCGGACTGTTGGTCTCTGATTAGGATAATCTGATTTTGTGACTTCTTTCCTGTCTACTCAATTTAGTTATTAGACTAAAGGCATAGACTTTTGAGTCAGACCTGGATATGACTCACACAGCTCTATCACTTCAAAAGCAATGTGACTTTGGACAAATTCCTTAACCTCTCGATAGCTCCGTTTCTTCATTTGTAATATGGGGACAATAAGAATACAGTACTCAACTCAAAGAGTGGTTGTGAGAATTAAGTGAGATAAAACACTTTAAGAGCTCAGCAGAATGCCTGGCCAATAGAAAAATGGGCAATAGATGTTATCTATTCCTGTCAATACGTCATAAAGTTGGCAATAACAGTTGAGCACAGGTCTGCTTGACTCCAGACCTGGACATTATCTGCTGTACCAACTATCTCCCAAGTGTCCTCATCATGGTGTTCCACAAACCTCTCCTTCAATTTTTGTGTTCTTGTTAGTGGACCTCGAAATCTCTGTCCACTCAACCAGCTTCTTTGATTTCTCCCTCTTCCTGTCTCACTGTGATGAGTTGTTAATGCTGAGAAAGCAAACCTTGAGCAGACTGAGAGCTGGAGGCTAGTGGAGCAGGGAATGAAGCAAAAACCTGGTCCATGAAATATAAGTGGAGGCCACAGGCATGGCCAAGGTCACATGCCTGACCCGTAGTGTTGCCAAAAGATCCCAGAGGGAATATGCAAGGTCTGTGGGCTAATAGATGAGAGGCAGGATTTGGCTTAGGCAAATCCTTGTATATAATGACTCATTGCAGTCAAGCGTCTTTTGGAAGTCTGTCAACCCAGCCCTAGGAGTCAAGCTTGCATAGATTTTGAAGTGCGTCTAATACTTATATTTTCCATCCATTTTTAATTAGTCATTGAGTCCTGTTACTTTTTTAAAAATTGATTTCAGAGAGGAAAGGAGAGGGAGAGAGAGACAGAAACATCAAAGATGACAGAGAGTCATTGATTGGCTGCCTCCTGCCTGCCCCACATTGGGGATCGAGTCCACACCCAGGCATATGCCCTGACCGACGCGGAATCCAACTGTGACCTTATGGTTCATAGGTTAACGCTCAACCACTGAGCCACGTCGGCTGGATGGCATCTGTTTTTTTATATCCCCCACAAAACTGTGCTTGGTGTCATTCACATAGTAGCCCTCATAAATGAAATTCTATTCACAACTACCCCTCTGGGGTTAAGAACTGGAGAAGTTACTGGAACAACCACCTTCAAATTGGTCAAATCATGAGAGAGAGAGGTGTATATACTTGCCTTTGTTCTCCCACTGAGATGAGTTGGGTAGAAAAGTATCAAATCACAGGCAGTTGGCTCATGATCAAGGGATTTGGACAAGGGAATGGATCCAAGAAAGAAATGTATTTTTCAGGGTCAGCTCTGCAGCATGCTGGAAACTGACTTTCTGCACTACTATTCATTTTTCCTTCGTAACTGGGTGTGGAGAGGGCGGGATCTGCTGCCACAACTCAGCCATGTAGCAGAATGAGTGGAATTTTCCAGATGGTTCCTCTTGATGGCTGTTGGCATAATTACAGCTTTGCCCTCTGGGAGCTATTAGTCTGCAACCCCTGAAAGCTAGACGGCTATTTCAGCAGGTCAGACTGTGGGATCTCTGCATTGCGTGGGCATGGAGAGCCATGTAGGATTTCAAGTCATAAATACCATTTTTATTTTTCTTGTACTAGCTCCCTACTGAATGTTTTGAGAAGAGGCTAAAGTGAAGGAAGTGTGTTATTCTCCTTTCTCTCCCAGTGCCTTTTCCCCTCCCCTCCCCCTCTCCCCGCCCCCCCGCAATGATGTGTGGCCTAGATGATTCCCTGGCATCGGACAGCTTTCTAAATGCCAGTGACTGGGGTCATCTTCTGGATATAACACATAGCTTTAGAATTTTTTCAAATCTGCATACCGATTGTGAAAATGAATTGACACTTCCCCTCTCCTCCCTCCAGGGCCCTCTCTCTGGGATGGTTCTTTTGTTGTCAGGTTAAGAGGCTTGGAGTATGAAAGCTTGCTATGGATTTGGGGACATCTGAACCCATAAGATCTTGGTGTTACAGTTTCACCTGCTCATTTGTGAACTGAACACCACTTTTATAATATCCAGTGAACACAGTTGCCCCAGGAGGCAGATGGTGTAAACGGAAGGGGTAAATCTGACTGGTACACGTGCTCATGAACAGAGAGATGGTTTGCCTTGTTGCAATGGGCCAGTTTGCATCCCTGTTCCCTGTAGCTGTCAGAGGTTGTCTTTTAGAGCCTCCTGTCCTTAGAGATCATAGTTTCTTTAACCTACAGGTTGGAAGACTTCCCTTAGAACTAGCAATCATCACTATGGATATGGTGGATCAGCATCCAGCTCCTAGTGTGCAGGGGTTGGGAAATGTACAACTTCATTTCCCAGACTCCTATGCAGTTAGGGTTTTGATGTAACTGAGATTCTGCTAATTTGATGCACTTTCTTTTTTTTTTTTTTTTTTTTTTTTTTTTAGTATACATTTTTATTGATTTCAGAGAGAGAGAGAGAGAGAGAGAGAGAAACATCAATGATGAGAATCACTGATTGGCTGCCTCCTGCACGCCCCACACTGGGGATCAAGCCTGAAACCTGGGCATGTGGCCTGAGTGGGAATCGAACCGTGATTCCTTGTTTATAGGTCAGTGCTCAACCGGTGACCCACACCATGCGGGCCAGGCTTGTTGCACTTTCTTGAGACTTGGATGTGGGAGCCAAATCCAGGGTAGAAAGGTGCAGGAAAATGGGTATTTGTATTTGCTAGTGTGGCTATGGGTCATATGGTTCTGAAGTTGCCAGCTGTGGCAATGGTTTCC